TTAGCCCCCTAGAGACCTATAATAATAAAGTAGATAAATATAATAATTAAAGACTTTAAGAAAAAGATAAATAATCTATAGCTCTAAGCTTAATAAATTTAATATTAGCATAATAATAAGAAATATCTAAAGATAATTAAGTAGGACCTATAGGATAGAGGATTTAAAGATTATAATTTTAAAGATATCTCTTTTTTATTCTTAAAGTTATTAAAGAAAGCTAAAGTAAGTATTTAACTAGAGTTGCTGCTAATTAATTAATATACTATAACTTTAAGGCCTCTTAGTTACTATTCACCTTTATCCCCTAATCTTATTTAATAAGATATTATTTAGATGATTAATTATACTTAATTTAAGGAATTAAATATATTTATTATATCTTATATATTATCTAGAATTAATAAAGGTGTGTCATCTAATTAATATAGTGCTTATATTAAATAAGCCTATAAGCCTATAGAGAGTATAAAGTCTATATCTATAATATCTCTTAAGGAACCCCTAGAGGGATGCTTTATAGTAATATTAATTTTAAGACTTAAAGTAAATAATATTATACTTCTTAAGTTATAGAAAGAGGCTATAGTATTCTTCTAAAAGGACCTCTAAATAAAGGCTGCTAAAGATTAGGTTATAAAGCTTAAGGCTAAAGGCACCTAAATAATAATTAATAAGTCTATAGGTATATTCTTAATCTCTAGTAAATAGATCTTTATATTTAAAATAAATATTAATAACTTTATTATTAAATATAAAGCTTATTAGGTTATTTATAGTAATTAATAATAATAAGGCTGTAATTTTAATAAGATCTATACCCCTATTATATTAGAAACTATAACTAAGATTATGCTATTAGTAATTATAATACTTAATATATTTATAGAATAAATTAACTTTATTATAGTATATTTAAACACTAAATTAGCTAATAGACAGATCTTTATATAACTCTTAATAGAATTTAATTAGAATAGTAAAGTATACCTCCTATAGTAGGCATTATATAGCCTATAGTAATTAGTAATATTATAGAACTAGATAATTAATTAGAAACTTAGAGAGCTTAGGTTTATACCTATTATTAGTGACCTCTATATTTATATCTATAAATAAGACACCCTAGTAATGATCCTAATATATATAAATAATATAATAATTACTATATTCTCTAAAGAGGAAGTTAATAGTATTAAGAATTAGTTAAATAAGGCCTTTTCTCTTAAAGTTATTAGTGAATTATTAAAATTTCTAGGATGTCACCTAATATATAATTATATTAATAAGATAGTTTATATCTCCTAGGCACCCTATATTAAATAGTGGCTGTTAGAATTAGGCATGTTAGACTATATATTAGCTAATATATTAATAAATTTATAGTATTTAAAGCTCTTTAAGGACTTATCCCCCCCTATAGATCTCTCTTAATATTAGAAAGTTATAGATAAAGGCAATTAGCTAATTATAAAGACTTATATAAATATTATATATATAGTTACTTATCTATAATACTAATCTATATCTTTAATAGAGACTAATACTATAGCTATTAAACACCTCCTATAATATCTAAAGTGTTATAAGAATAATAGTATCACCTTAAGATATAGACTATATAAAGGCCTAGCTATATATATTAATACTAGTTATATAGATAATAATAATAGTAAGTTAATAGAGGTATATATTATAATATTTATAGGGGCCTTAATCTTATAAGCTTTATATAAATAAATATTTATTATTATATTGAGCACCATCGCCAAATTTTGTGCCCTATTATAGATAATTAAAGAGGCTATATAGCTAAAGAAATTGACTATTACTATAGAGATTAAAAAGAAAGGCCCTATTCTTATTTATACTAACTTATTTAATATTATAGATATTCTTAAGAAGAATAGTTTTAATATAATAACTAAATAGATTAATAATTATTACTTTTTTATT